AGTGTAAAAATTCAGTGCGTTTTATGTCAGAAAATGTTTACGCGTAAAAACAATTTGGATATCCACGTGAAAATTGTGCACTATGAGGGAAGAGTCGCCCCGACTATAATCCCACAGACACCGGCTCATCTTTCGCCCCGCAGAATACTACAACCACAACACCTGTAGCCGACTCGTCGAACGCACAAACGCTGAAGCTGAAGACATAGATGAAGAAAAATTCCGAAAATTACTTTCCGAACAGGGCATGTATCAAGGTCAGGGTAGTGGACTACTACTTCAATCCATAGTTGGACTTTTATTAGGCGTATATAAATATACACCTATTGGCGGTTCGTTATATATTCCGCTACCCACAGACTTTTAAATAAACGGGCCGTAATAAACCCGCAAAATAAGGATCAGCAATGTTTCAAATGGGCGATTCTCGCAAAACATGTTACGGGCGAGCATAAAAATCGTGTAGGCGAAAATTATACAGAACACGAACAAAAATATAATTTTTCTGGTTTAACGTTCCCCATACCTCTATCCAAAATTAAAATATTTGAAAAAAATATTCCGTCCGTTTCGATCAACGTGTACGGATTAAAAGCGGAGAAGAAAAACAAACAAATTATTAATACCGTTTTCCCGCCGAAAGTCGCCAACGAAGAGAAAACCAACCATGTCGACCTATTATTAATTAACGACAATGAAAAAACTCACTATACTTATATTTCGAATTTTTCTCGTCTTGTACGCTCACAGAAAACCGCGCATAATGACAGTGTTGTTTTTTGTAAACGGTGTTTCACGTCGTTCGACAACCGTCCGAGAATAAAGTTGAGCGGGCAGGCGGCGCTCGAACAACACAAAAAAATATGCGGCGAACACAAACCGTTATTACCCATTATGCCCGGACCCGGATCGAAATTAAAATCTGAAAAGTGGGGAAAAACACAAAGACACCCCATCACCATCTACGCTAATTTCGAGGCGATTTTGGAGAAGACGGACGAGATGAAAGGAGGCAGTAATCCATAATCCATAATCATAGACCGATGTCGTACGGCATTTACGTGAAGGCGGCCGATGACGTTCCTAAGGAATTATTAGAAGAATTTCACATACCTACCAAGCCGATAATCTACAGAGGGACAGAAGACGAACCGAACGTGACGAAACATTTTGTAAAGACGATAGTGGAGTTGGGTTTACGCGTGGAGCAAATGTTGAAGACGAATGAACCTATTACGATGACTGACGTAGAGCGAGAGATACATTTGACCTGCGAAGAATGCAACTCATGTAGAAATAAATTTTCTGCACAAAATTATAAAGTCGCCGACCATATCAACCTGTTTGGGAGATTCGGACAGACGCTTTGCAATACCTGTTACCTAAAGTTACAGATTCCTAGTTTCTGGCCGTGCTTTTTCCATAATCTTAGCAATTACGACGCGCATTTCTTCGTCACGGAGCTGGGATACGATGCCGAAACAATTTCAGTCATTCCTAATAGTGAGGAAAAATTTATTTCGTTCTCGAAGTACGTGAGCAAGACCTTCACCGTAAGATTTATAGACACGTGTCGTTTTATGGCGTCGAAACTTTCATCACTCGCGTCGAATCTATTAATACCGGATTTCATTAGGTTCCGCGAGACAATGAAAGTGTTCAACAAAGAGGATATGTCACTTGTTACGAGGAAGGGTGTATATCCGTACGAATATACAGATAGTTGAGGAAAATTGGAGGAAGAAACATTACCGGGGAAGGATGAGTTTTTCAGCCCGTTTATTTGAAATGTCTGTGGGTAGCGGAATATATAACGAACCGCCAATAGGTGTATATTTATGTACGCCTAATAAAAGTCCAGGTACCCTTGATACATGCCCTGTTCGGAAAGTAATTTTCGGAATTTTTCTTCAT